CAGAATGATTAAGAGCATGAGGATAGAGACTACAGACTGGGAGAAAATATTAGCTACCTACTCCTTGGATAAGGGATTAATATCCATAATATATAAAGAACTTAAAAAACTGAATACCAAAAGCAAAGAATGCCATCAATAAATGGGCTAAGGAACTAAACAGACACTTCTCAGAAGAAGAAATACAATCGATCAGCAAACGTGAAAACATGTTCATCATCTCTAGCAATTAGAGAAATGCAAATCAAAACTACTCTAAGACTTCCTCTCACTCTAGTCAGAATGGCAGTTATCAAGAATACAGCAATAATAAATGTTGGTAAGGATGTGGGGGAAAAGGTACACTCATACATTGCTGGTGGGACTAAAATTTGGTGAAACCACTCTGGAAAGCAGTATGGGAGATTCCTCAGAAAACTTGGAATGGTACAACCATTTGATACAGTTATCCTACTCCTTTGTTTATATACAAAGGACTTAAAATCAGCATACTACAGTGATGTAGCCACATCAATGTTGATAGGAGTTCAACTCACAATAGCTAAACTATGGATGCCCTTCAAGATATGAATGGATAAAAAATGTGGTATAGGGGCTGGGGATGTGGCTCAAGCGGTAGTGCGCTCGCCTGGCATGCGTGCAGCCCGGGTTCGATCCTCAGCACCACATACCAACAAAGATGTTGTGTCCACCGAGAACTAAAAAATAAATATTAAAAATTCTCTCTCTCTCTCTCTCTCTCTCCTCTCTCACTCTCTCTTTAAAAAAAAATGTGGTATATATGAAATGGAATATTACTCAGCCTTAAAGAAGAATGAAATTCTGTCATTTGCTGGTAAATGGATGGACCTAGAGAATATTATGCTAAGTGAAATAAGCCAATCTCCCCAAAATCAAAGGCCAAATGTATTCTGATAAGCAGATACTGATCCAGTTTTGGGGGTGAGTAGCGAAGAATGAAGGAATTTTGGATTGTGCAGAGGGGAGCAAGGGGAGGGGAGGGGTTGTGGGGATGGGAAGGATGGGAGAATGAGACAGATATTATTACCCCATATACATGTATGATTACACTACTGGAGTGACTCTGCACCATGCACAGCCAGAGGAATGAGAAGTTGTGCTCCATTTGTGTACAATATGCCAAAATGCATTCTATTGTCATATATAACTAATTAGAACAGATTTTTAAAAACTGTTTTTAAATTAAAATATAAAAATTTAAACAATAAAAGAATACAAATAACAATAATGCTGGTGAGGATGTACAGGAAAAGGTGCATCTGTACTTTGTTGGTGGGCCTACAGTTTGGTACAGGAGGGAAGGATAGGTATCATGAAGATATAGGGGATGATCAGTAGTGTAGAAAAAGAAGATTGAGAGGCAGAGTGGAGGGATGAGAAGGGGAGGCAATACTTCTTTAAAAAATAATGTCATATGCATATATAAATATACCACAGGGAATTTCACCTTTATGTATAAATAAAAAGAACCAATTCAATATAAATAAATAGATGAGCAAAAGGGAAATCTGTAGAGTAGAAGAAGGAGAACAGGGTAGGGAAAAAGGGGAATTATGAACTGAAATTGTATTCTATGCATGGGTGAGTTTGTCAGAATGAACACAACTAATATTATAACTATAAAGCTCTAGTAAAAATAAATAAAGCTGGGTGTGGTGGTGCACACCTGTAATCCCAGTTGCTTGGGAGGCTGAGGCAGGAGGATCATGAGTTCAAAGTTAGCCTCAGCAATGACGAGGCACTAAACAACTCAGTGAGACCTTGTCTCTAAATAAAATACAAAATAGGGCTGGGGATGTGGCTCAGTTGGTCCAGTGCCCCTGAGTTCAATCCCCAATACCTCCCAAAATAAATTAATTGATTAATTAAATTTAAAAAATAAAAACATACAGTTTTAAAGCAAGAATTCAAACTCAGGCATCCTGGCTTTACTCTATTATTGCTCAAATTATAAACATATATTAAATAGTTAAATATAATGTACATATACATTATATATGTGTGTACATATATAATACATACACATAAACATTTAAAACATTTTATGTAAAGTAAATTCTATCTCCTAGTAGCATCTCTGTAACCAGAAAATATAAAAGTGAATATAGAAAGCAGATAATTGAGACATTATGGGTACAGCACTTTCAGAGCCTTGGAGAAAGTAGTAGTTAAGAGGACAGATAAACAATAGCTGAGACTGACAAAACCTATCAAGAGGGAACTTATTGAAGGACACTTTATATTTAACAGAACACAGGATTTAAACTCATTCACGCGGGCCATGAGAATGGTTCTAATTTTGGACCAATAGTATCAGGCAGGTAAAGGCAAATAGGAGTGCAACCCAAATAGGGAGTGCAACAGTGACACCTTATGGGATAAAAGAGCAATGGTTTGATAAAATAGGTTTTCTTGGCATTGGGAGCTAGAGATGGACAGGAAAACAGATTTGAGAGATATTTGGGAGGCAGAAGAATGGAAAGGATTTTGTGAGGCCTTGGATGTGGTAGATTTAAGGAGGGGGAGTAATAAAGGATCACCCTAAGTTTCCTGCAAGACCAATTCACTGGAGTGTAAGTATGTTCTTCACTGTGCAAGGAGGTCCAAGAAGAATAGAGTTAGAGGGTAAGAAGATAAAATATGATCAGCAAGAAGGATGAAAGTAGACAGAAAAGAAGAAGATGAATTTTAAAATGCACTAAATTCCTACTGCATGCCATATTGAATGCCAGAAGCACTACAGATAAATCTCCTTCCTGTAACCTTGAATGCATGCCCAGGTTACAAACAAAGAAACAGGAGCTCATAGATCTTAAGTCACAAAGCAAGTGAAAAACTGAGCCAGGATTCTAAATTCAGTGCTTGTCTTTCCCATCTGCTCCTTTCAAAGGGCCAGTTGATTCTGAACTAAAGATAAAGAAGCTAACAAACTAGAAAGAAAGCATAGACTTCTGTATCAAGGTGAAGCAAATCCCGCCCAAAACAGGGCCAGAAAGAAAGCAGACAAATTATAGGCCCTCCCTTTTCCAGCCTTGCCAACTTGAACCCCCTGCACAAGAGCAACAAGTTTTAGTGGCTCATAAGATACCTAATGAGGCCCGTGCATCAATTTGCCAAGGAGCACAGGCACAGAGGGCTAGCCAGGCACACTCTTTCCCAGCCCTAATTCCAAGGCCTCTTCACCTTCATAAAAAAGCAGATTTGGGGGATCATGGGTGCAGTAGTATCTAGTCTCTGTAGGAAGTAGATACTATTGATTACTCACTATCCTTGGAGGGTAAGTGAGGGAACAATCTCCCTATTTCCTAGGGAAAAAAATATATGGCTTACATCATGAGCCTCTCCAAGACCATCTCCTAGGCTGAGGTACTTATCTAGTACACAATAGCATAAGACATCCTTCCCATGGGAGAAAAGAAAAAAGAGGGGAAATATCATGTGGTAAACCAAATTTCTCAGAGACTGACGGATATCAACAAGTGGGCTTTGACCTAATAGGATAGAAGCAGCAAGAGGAGGGAAACCGAAACAAGCTGAGGAGGAAACAGAGAGCAGAGTAGTGTTGAGTCCCACTTTCTATATAGAAGTTATATATGAGACCATCACCTTTTGGGTTGCCCTCGTGCTAACATGAAATAGCCATCACAGAGTAGAAAACATGATATGATGTGTTGTGGCAAAAGAAGCCACCTCTAAAGCTTATAAGTCCATGATAGTCTTAAATGGCAGGAGATTCAGAAAGTAGCAGAGAAGTGACAGCCAGTGACCTGGACGAGGTTTCTGCATGGAGAGTTGAGAGGCCTGGAAGTAAATACTATGGTGATGGCTAGCTCAAGACAGAGACTGGATGAAGGATTTACTAAAACCCCAAAGATCTGCCATTCCAGAAGGAGCCAAGGAGGGGCCAAGATAGGAAGGGTAATCACTCTGTGACCCCATTAGGCCAAGAAGACACATCTCAACTACATCAACCAGGACACAGCATCACTAGAAACATCAATGTCAGGACCAGGCAAGGATGTAGCAGGTTTGGGGGATCATTCCAGCTTCTGAGGCCCCCAGGCTTTACAAAGTACTGTACAAAGAAGAGCATGCATCCCAGCAGCCCTCCTCAGTGCCAGATGGCATCTGGGGAAGGAAAATTGAGCAGAGGACACTTAAGAACAACAACAACAACAACAACAAAACCCAAACCCAGAACTGTGGTATGAATTTTGAATTCACCGAATACCCAAAACAGACTGAATTAGATCAGTGGCTGCTTTAAATGAAAAAAACTTTCTTTAATTGGGAAGGTAATGGTCTTCTATCACTACCCACAGAAGTTAGGACTGAAGAGTGAGATAAGATCAGTTAAAGAAAGTAAGTGTTTACACATACAAAATTTTTTGGTACCAGGGATAGAACGCAGAGGTGCTAACTGAGTCACATCCCCAGCCTTTTTTTTTTTTAATTTTGAGACAGGGTCTCATTATTTTGCATAGAGCCTCACTAAATTGCTGAGGCTGGCCTTAAACTTGTCATCCTTCTGCCTCAGCCTCCTGGGCCACTAGATTACAGATATGCACCGCTGCTCCCAGCTTACACATATATATTGTGGAATAAATTCCAACTCTGTTACATGCAGAGAAGGGGTACCCTAAATTCCTGAGTACTTCTGTGAAGAAACTGAACTCAGTAGCCCAAAGAGCAGTTAAACTTTCTATTAAGTCACATTTGGGTTAAATTACTTATATGTCGTAATAATAAAAAATGTGGGGCAATAGCAATGTGAATCCTAGGGAGCACAGGGAATGAGCTGAGCCACTAGTGATCATAAATTTGATGCCAAAGGAAACAGGCTAAGTCCTGGAGCTCAGGGAGGCTTCAAAAGTCCAATTAGGGGCCTGTGCCAAAGGTCCCTGGAGAACATTCTAAGGACAAAGCAAGCTATGTGGACAGACATAAGGAGGAAAGGAGGGAAAACAAGCAATACTCACCCAGCTCTGCCTTCATATTGTGGCAGCTAAGCAGCAGCAACTTTCCTCTTGTCAGCAACTCAATAGGCATATTGGAGACACGGGTCTGCCAATCATTCAGGGAGCTCACCAGCTGTATGTAGTTCTTGATGGGACAGCCTCTCATGTCTTCCAGCTTCTGGGGCCCCCAGGATTTCAGGAATTTATAAATATCTGTTATCCAGTGATGTTCCCTGCAGAAATCCTGCACCTCCCACAGCATGTCCTAAGTGTAGACAAGGTGATTAGGGCAGAAGGGGTGGCTATGAGGAAACTGGTGGGCAATATTCCATTCCTTAAATCTGTTCTCACCTCCATCAGTGCATGTTGTATATTTAAAGCCTGGTGGATTCGAAGGTTGTTGTCTAAGTCTTCCTGTAGCTGATTATAATTGGGGGGCAAGTACTGGCCCCGTAGCCTGTGCCCATGGACCTCCAGGAGATCAGCAATTGGCTGAGACTTCCAAGGCTTTACCAATCCTATTCTAGGGCCACAGAATATACGAACAGCATTGCTGGGTTGACCCAGGAACTTGGGCTTCAGGAATTCTATGTTTGAGTCTTCCTCTTCGACTTCATCATCTTCTAGTAAAGCACATGCATATCTAGTGGAGTACATCTGGAGTGCCTTCCAGAGCCCCTACACATATCTTCCCACCCTGAGTATGTGCACTTATATCACACCACATTCCCCATCCCCTGCCCATGAGTTTATAAATACATATACATCACAAACACAGTAAATCAGACCCCAGGAAGGAATTTGTTAGAATTCAGGTGCAGAGAGTAGAATTTACTCTAACTGGTGTCACAGGAAGGGAATTATTCCAACAAGTTAAATGGGTTGCTAAGCATTCAGTGCTATGTGCAAATTGGGATGCTGATGCTACACCAACCAGCTATAAAACATTGTATCTGCTATGTACAATCTGCAGAGTGGATGGCATATTTGCCTTTCTCCCCAGCTTAATTCCTGGTTGAAATCTCATGTAGACCTAATTAATGTATTCAAAATCACATATGACACCTAGGTGCAAGGGGGTCTGGGAAGCGTAGTTTATAGCATTCCAGCTTCCACAGAAAGAGTGGGGAGTGGGAAAGAATGTTGAGCATGTCAGTCCTCAAGTGTCTGCCCTAACAAATATCCTTGACCCTAGCCTCCCCCTTAACACTTTAGGAACTGGTTAATTGCCAAGATCAGGATTCCTGTAAAAACTTTTTTTTTCCAAAACAAAAAAAGGCAAAAAAGCATCAAAATGTTCAGAAATTAGATCTGTTGCACCCATGTCTAAACTATATAGTGCTTCTGAGGCTCAGACCTCAGATCTCTTCTCCATCTTATACACTCCCTAGGTCTCACCCAGCCTCATAGCTTTTAAGTACCATCTAGTTGTATCCAAATTTATCCCTAGTCCAGGTCTCTCCCTGAATTCTAATCCCACTTAAATGACTGCCTCCTCCACATCTCTATAGATAATCTAACATACATTCAAACTTAACAGGGACAAAAATGATCTCTGATTTCTTTTCCCCACTTCATAGAAAATTCTTTCTTCAATAGTCTTCTAATTTCAGTAAAGAGAATTCCATTCTTCTACATTCTCTAGTCAAAATCTTTAGTCATCTTTCACTCTTCTACCCAAAGCCAACTAATTCTCACCATATCTACCATCACTTGCCCTATCAGGGAAGTCCAAATCACCACTTCTCTCACTGCATTATTGCAATACCCTTCTAACTTTTCTCCCTGGTTTGGCCCTTGTCTCTAACACCTTACAGTTTCTATTCCACATAAAAACAAGAATAATAACACCAGAAGGGATTCTGAGATGATAACAGTATCAAAATAGTTTCAAAATCCCCACATTAATATAATAGAGCAATTAAATAGCAAAACCAAAAGTGGTTAACATTTTTAACAAATGGGGACAAGGGATCCTTACAAATTCCAAAGTGTAAGTGAGTAGGGACAGACCACTCACAGCTTCAAGACCCACATGGTATCAGGATTTGTGAGTAAATAGATAGAGGGGAATAACAAGACAACAGACAAACCAGAAAACAGGAAAAACCCCAAAATATTTTGCAGTACTGGGGATAGAACCCACGGGTGCTTTAGCCCTGAGCTACATCCCCAGTCCTTTTTGGGGGACATAGTCTCACTAAATTGCCCAGGCTGACCGCCAATTTATAATCCTCCTGCTTCAGCCTTTCTATTCATTGGGATTACAGGTGTGTGCCACCACACCAGGCTTTTTATTTGTGGTGGTGTCTTTGTTTTGGTACTGGGCTTGGAACTTAGGGGCACTTTACCACTGAGTTACATTTTCAGTTCTTTTTATTAAATCTTGTCTTATTAGTAATGTTTTATCTGCTACATATTTATTTTATTGAAAATTGCTCCATTTTTCTTAAGAATCTAGAGACAATCTTAAATCAGAACTTTGGTTCTATTTATCCATTATATTAATCTGATTTTGCAGATCTTTTTCCCCTGAAGTTTTTTAATATGTATATTTTTAGTTGTAGATGGACACAATAGTTTTTATTTATTTTATTTTTAAAGAATATTTTTTAGTTGTAGTTGGACACAATATCTTTATGTATGTATGTATGTATGTATGTATGTGGTGCTGAGGATTGAACCCAGGATTCACACGTGCTAGGCTCTACCACTGAGTCACAACCCCAGCCCTCCCCTAAAGTTTTATACAAAAATTTCAAGAATGACACTATGAACTCTCTTATTCATCCACTTAGATTTAATAACATTTGTCACATTGTTCTGATTTTTCCTTCAATGTTTTAGTCTCCCCTAAACTATTTGAAAGTAAAATACAAATATCATGACATTTTACTCCTAAATACATCAGTCTATGCTGCTCTTTAAAAAATGGAATGGATGACCTTAGGCATTGAAGGTAGTATTTGAAATTTCAGAATTTAGAATAAAAATTTAAGTTTTTAAAAACAATTCCAAGGAAGTTAAAGCAGCATATAATGAGAAAATACAGTGAAGAGTCTGATTTATTTAAGTCTTTAATACTAATAATAGTAGAAGATCTGTAGCATGAATTACTAAGTACTCAGCACTATTCTAGACACATTACCTCTTCTAACCTTGAAAACAATCCTTTTTCTTAGGTAGTTTTGTTATTTCCACTGTCCAGACCAGTAAATTAATGTGTTTCATTCCAAAGTCTTTCCCCTTTCCAATGCACTATGTAAAACAAATATCAATAGTCTCTATAAATTAACCTAAACTCATTTTTGGAAAAAGTGTTCCCCAACCACTGTGATTTGTAAAAAGAAAAAAAAAGGCTCTTTTTATTGAACTTTTTTTCATTGTCATCTTTTCCTTAAATTAACTTCCTCTTTAAATCATTGTAACGAAGACATTATCAGTTAAACGGGAAAATTAAAAAGCATCTATATGTCAGATATGATTTTGAATACATTTCATGGTTTTATTTGTGACAGTATTAGTACTCTAAATAAAGGAAATGTAAAGATGTATTCCTTCCCTGAGGGTTAACAAATTTGAGAATATCTCAATAATACTAATGAATTATTCCATAGGAAATGAAAAGAACTGTATAAATTAAATATTGAATGAGTAGAACTCTTCAAACAAGTCCAAATTAACCTAGCAATCTAATTCAACAGGATATAAAATATAACTATGATGTTAGAAAAAAAAAAACCTTAAGAGTTTTAGATGAACCAGGGGAAGGACAGTGTACTCACACTCTTTATATTCTCCCTCATTGCACATCAATTAGCAAGCAAGAACACCACCCAACTCTCCCAACTCCCAACACACATGTGCAATTCCCAGGTTAGAGCTGGTCCATTCATGCCCAAAGCCTGCCCCTATAGCTTGGGCCTCCTGATCATTTCCCATACCATTCATGCTCTTTATGTTCCCTTCCCCTCTTCCCAGCCTTCCTACTCCCTAAATCTCCTTGAATACCTTCAGAATACAGGAGATCTCTGGAGGTCTTCAGGTCTGCAGACTGCATTACCTTCATGTTAGGATATGGAGAAGAGGAAGAAATCGGGGGAAAGAATGGATTCAAACCTGTCTGAGAACTTTAATAACAGACATAGGAACCAGGGATTTTTATAGCCATTCCTCTGCCCAATTCAGATACCTGCAGAGCAGAGTTCTTGATAGACTGTAGGCCGCCCGTTACAATCTGGGTCATATTTTCAATACAGGGCACTTGTGATAGCTGGCTACAATCATCACTGAAGACCAACCGTGATACGAGAAAGGGTTTTTGCCTTGGAGCCTGTAAAAGAAGGGTTAAGAAAGATTGTGTTGCTACATGTCATTGTATATCTCTCACCACCTGGCCCTTGAATGCCTTCCCACCTCCACCCACCACCTCACTTGTAGGATGTTGGCGACAAAAGAGGTTATTTCATCTTCTAAGATTGAAACAAGGCTCTGACAAATCATGTAGTTGATCAGGCGGGCCAACTTTCCTAGTTGCAGTAACCATGTCTCTGCTTGCTTCAGCTTCTGCTTTAGCTTCTGGCACTGTACCCTCTGAGTGTATATGGAGCCTTGACCTGTCTTGTTGCAGTTTTGCACATACTCCTGCAGCTTCTGTTGCATGTTGTATGTATCCTCATGAACCTGTCAGCATAAAGAGTGGAAACTAACTGGATATAGAAGTATGGAGAGTAAATAGCCACCCACTGGTCTCTGCAAACAATCAGGTCTAGAACCCAGAACCTAGATGTGCGCACAGAGTGCTCCTTTTAAGTTGAGATTAGCCCCAGAATTTGTTTGTTTTGACTTGTTTGCTTGTTTTGACAGTACTGGGGACTAAATTTAAGGCCTTGAACATCAGGACAAATGTACCACTGAGCTACATTTTGAGCCCCAGCCCCAGAATTATTATTATTTTTTTGTGGTGTTACAGATTAAATCCAGGGCCTTGTGCATGCAAGGGAAACACTCTATCAACTGAGCTATATCCCCAGCCCTAGCCCAGAAATTTTTATGTAACTGAGAAGATACAAAATGCAGGACATCTTTTAAGAGGAAGCCTTATGTGCTAATGCAATAGGCCAGCCCTATCACACATATTTTGAATATATTCAAAGCCCTCAGGATGGAACTTTAGAAAATTTGTGTCTATAGAACTTCACTAATCATCAAGAATACAAGCAGCAATAAATGTTGGTGAGGATGTGGGGGAAAAGGTACACTCATACATTGTTGGTGGGACTGCAAATTGGTGCAACCACTCTGTAAAGTAGTATGGAGATTCCTCAGAAAACTTGTAATGGAACCACCATTTGACCCAGTCATTCCCTCCTAGGTTTATACTAAAGGACTTAAAATTAGCATACTACAGTGACATAGCCACATTAATATTTATTGCAGCTAAATTCACATTGCTAAATTATGGAACCAACCTAGGTGCCCTTCGACTGATGAATGGATAAAGAAACTGTGGTATATACACACAATGGAGTATTATTCAACTTTAAAGAAGAATTAAATTATGGCATTTGCCAGTAAATGGATGGAACTGGAGAATATTATGCTAAGCAAAGTAAGCCAATCCAAAAAAAATCAAAGGCTAAATGTTTTCTCCAATATGGGTATAATAATTCATAATAAGGGGAGCAGGTAGAATAGAGGTATGTTGGAATAGAGGAGAGTGAAGAGAGGGGAGGGGGCAAGGGAGTAGGAATGATAGTAGAATGAATCAGACATTATTACCCTATGTGCATATATGATTTCATGGCCTGTGTAACTCTGCACCATGTACAACCAGATGAATGAGAAGTTATACTCCATTTATATATGATGTGTCAAAATGCATTCTACTGTTATGTATAACTAATTATATCATTTTTTTAAAAAAATAAGCAAACAAACAAAAAACACTAAGAACTTCACAATACATAGAACAGACAAAAAAATAGGTGAGTAAAGCTCAGCAATAATTCCAGAACATGGACTTAACCATTAGGTCTTGGTAATGTGGCCTGCTAAGTAGCATAATATTGTTTTATGTTCTAGTAGAAGCTATTTCTGGACACTAACAGACTTTCTATTGAAGGAGGGGAAATGTGGGACAAAGCTTGGGAGTCTCTTTGGAATTATTCACAGATCTAGGAGGATTCTCAGCCTATGCAGAGAATTGATGATTGTCAAGTTCTATTGAGGAACATAAGGGAGAAATAATAAAGTTATATTGGTCCAGATAGACCCTTTGCCCTTGATGTTGTCCTGTTCCTTGCGATGCTGCACAGAGCTCATGATTAGAACTGATTGGTTCAATCTGTGGATTGTGTTTACACTATTCATGTGCTCAAGTCTCAGTCTTCAGAACTGTAGTTAAGTCCTAAGCAAGGCACATGATACACAAACATGTCCTCAGGCTTGGTAAAGTGTGCCCTTCCTACCACATAGCCCTTAGTCCAGAACACCATCGTTATCTAGAAACTTGTATGGCTCATCCACTACACTGTGAGCTCCTTAAGGAAGGACCCTCTATTAAGCCTCATTTCACTTTTTAATTGCTTAATATGGTGCCCAGTATTGAATAGGTCCACTGTAAATTTTTATATAAAGAATATAACATTTCACATGGAAAGGGTCTACTGAGCATCCATTAGGATAAAATCACATTAACAACAACAATAATAATTATCACTATAATGGAACATAGTTGATAGACGCCAGCACTAGGCATACTAACTTCTAAATTATGAGAAAAAAATTTTTAACCCTGAAATCCTATACCTTGCCATAGTATCATTGAAGTTGAAGAATGAATAAAGACATACTTAGATATATAAAGACTCAGAAAATTTACCATCCAAAGATTCTTCCTGAAAAAAA